CTTTCTTTCTTTCTTTCTTTCTTTCTTTCTTTCTTTCTTTCTTTCTTTCTTTCTTTCTTTTCTTACATTAGTTTCCCAGGACTTGGTGACAAGGCCCGGAGGCTTAGACCACAGAACACCTGTGAACCCACAATCAAAGTCCTCACAGACATAGCTTCCCCTGACATCTCTCCGTGGCTTGCAGAAGGCCATTTTATGACTGTCTTCATCTCTCCTGTCCTTTTGGTGTGACTAAACTCCCCCTTCTTCTAAGGAAGCCAGTCATATTTCAGCATCCAATCCTATACTGTTTCAACATGATCATCTCTTTAATAGCTTCCTCTCCAAGCATGGTGACACCCTAAGGCCCTGGAGGGTAAAGTCGTGACATGATTTGTAAAATGACACAACTTATTCCTTAACACTCTGTGAGACAAACAAAATTAAACTCTATAAAATTCAAAGATTTTGATAAAAGATGCTTGGTGGCTTAAAGCCTTTACATTGAGGATGGATGCGACCCTGTCTAGTTCTAGAGACTTAAATGACTCTGTTTCCAAGAAAGGTTAGGTTAGCTTTCTGTAGTAAGTGATTGTTTTTGCATGGCCCTACTGTGCACGTAAAGACTGGAAGACCAGTCAGAAAGTATAGTAAGAATTAAATCAAGGTGAAAACTAGGCATGTGAGGGATGGTTAGAATTTTTAGTTATCAGGGCCCAGGGGGATATGTATGCCATCCTTAATTTACATTAAAATTATCAATTTGTAAAAATCTTCGGGAACTTTCTTTCATCCTAAGAAAATCCAAGAATTCTATGGTGTTCCACACATTCCCCCAAAACTGTTTGTTCTACTATATCCTCTTTTGGGGCCCGCCTTACTTTGTGCCTGGAGAACTCTTCAGCCCTATTTCCTAATTTAGGCTGCTCTGCCCTCAGGCTCCACCTCACTTCTCCCAAGAGCCCTTTATTTGCCCTCCATCTTCAGCTATTATAATCCTTAGATTGATACATGACACATTTCTTGGGGATGGAACTTGTTTCTGTTGCTGTGTATCTCAAGAGCCTGTGTTGTGTCTCCAAGCCTTCACCGCGGGGGATGGGCTCCAGCCACTGACTGACACTGACCTGTGCTTTGCACAGGACTCACGAGTTTCCCGGAAGTCGACTTCCAATGACAAAACCCAAAGTCCTGAAGGCACTGCCAAAGTTGCCCAGCCTAAGCCATCAGTTTCCTTGGATTCCCGCTGACATTTGCGTCAGTGGCTCGGCGTCCCTCAGCAGAGCTGAACTGTAGTAGACCATTAAGAGCTACTACATGTATACGGTCATATGCTTTTCTTTAGGTTATTTTCTCTTCCATCTGGTCTACTCCACTCCAATTTTAACACTGCTTCCCTAGCCCGCCTCCCAAACAAGTACGTGCCTTGAAGTGTGCTTTCCGGGACAACCAGGCTAGAGAATGATTGTTTCTTCTTATGTGGCAAGGGAATAATACATTCGTCAATTTTCTCCACGCTGTGACAGAATATGTGAGAGAGCCATGCACTGGAGGAAGGATTTATTTTCGCTCATGGCTTAGGAAGGGGTAGCTCAGTGTGGCAGAGAAGCCTGGCAGGGAATGTGAGACAAGTCCTCAGTGGAATCATCAGGAAACAGAACCACAAACGTTGGCGCTCCTCTCTTTTGCGTTTATTCAGTCCGGGCTCTCATTCAGGGCAGCCCCCTGCTGGTAATCCTCTCTGGAGGATCCACAGGTGAGCTCTCAAATGCCAGAGGCACTAGTTGATCCAATTAAACTGACAGTGAAGATTAATCGTTAAGGGGTGGGGCTTGGGGTGAAAGGTACGGCCTGAGAGATGGTTTCAGAGATGAAGCGTTGTTGATGCAGTTAAAACGACAAGGTGGCAGGGGCTCTTTGGGCAGAGGAATGTGGGGGTGTGAATTTGGGTCAGGAGGAGGTAAGGAAAGAGGCCTGGAGACAGAGATCAGAACAGAAAAGGAGCACATGGCCAGCCTTTGTGTAGAGTCTATGGGAGTCCTGTGTTGAGAGAAGCAACTTGCTTGTCAAGATGTGCTGATAGGTTTACTATCCCTGGCAAAGGGGCTCTTGCTGTTGCTTTGGGAAGGAACCCAAGGGAAGAGAGGCTCGTGAGAGGTAAGGGAATGGTAAACTGAAGAAGCTGAGGGAAAAGAGCTCAGTGGTTAAGGGCTTGGGAAATAGCCCAGCATAGCCATCCTATCTTAGTTCCTGGGTTCTGCCCCCACCCATGAAAAGTTCAATGCTCAGATAAAGGATGTGTATAAGAAGTCCAAAGGTGATTTTAAGAAGCATATTGAAAGTGACTTTCTTTATTAGTGGTATGAAAACAGGTCAGGCCAGTATCTCTCAGGCGTCTACCCAGGGCCCAGCACCCTGCCTGGCTGCACACTGTGTTGCTGGTACACTGTGGGGGAAGGCTGCCTTTAGCCTAGGTTATAGAAAGGACATGAAGGGCTTCGTACTTTGCAGGATGGTGGCACAACCATCAGAGACTTCCCAGAGGACCCAGGAGAGTCCTAACGTACCCCACAATTATGATTATCTTCACAGGCCTTTCGCCAATAGCAACAATGTTCAGGTCTATGCCACAGGCCTTGAGGGGCTATCTGTGCTCATCAGCTCCTCTCTCAGCAAGAATGTTCAGCAGAAGGGCAGATGAGAATCGTACCCTGGCTGATAAAGTGGCAGTGGTCACTGGCTCTACCAAAGGGTGAGTGGATGGAAGCTCTGGCTGGCTCATTACCAGAAGACGTCGCCATGGTCCCCATGGAGGCCCTCATCTCACACATCCCGGCCTTTCCTCCCCACCCATGACACAGGTCCCGCCTTTAACTCTATGTGTAAACATCTCTCCCTAAAACATCCGGTTTTGTAGTTACAAAACCAGCTGCTCTGGGACAATCAGGGCAGAGTCTGAATGTGATCTCTCACTGTCGTTAGAGGGCAACCCCTGGATAATTAAAATTTTACCATCAGAACAGCATATCTGCTCGCCTGTCTTTCATACCCACGTGGCCACTGTCTTTTAAGTCCTCTGCTAACAGAGAGAAGCCTGACACCTATTGTGCCTTGGACTCAGAAGTCTCATTGACTACACCTTGCATATGGTACCAAGAATGGTGCCAGCTCAGTGGTCTATGCAATGGCTTGTTGGTCCCCCCCCCCAGTTCCAGTTGTCCCCTGGCTCCCGTAATGATATGCACTTTACAGCGAATCCTTACCATCATCAGAAAGATGGAAGATCACCATCCTCCTGATCGTTTATGGTCTTAACAGCACTGTTTAGAATCACCAGGAAAAACAAGAGAACTAGACTTTCTAAATCCCTGTGATGTCCTAAATCTTTCCGTGTGCTCCTAAATCTTAGTATTCATAACACATAAAATACATTTAAAATTCTCAGCTACCCAGATAGTTTCAACAAGACGCCAGGCACATGCCTCTTTCTCTTCCTTGATCATAGCTGCTTAACTAGAACCAGTCAAGAGGCTTTAAACCTCCTCAGTGTTAGGAGACTTAGAGGAGAGCGTGCTCTCCAGACCAGAAGGAAGGCCTAGAGAGAGCCTAATCCATGCCAGCCTCCTGAGATTGGGAAAGAGAGCGACCACGCTGAGTAGTTTCAGTTCTCCACAATTTAGACCCTATACCCAACAACGCTACAACTCTTCTGATGGAACATCACTTTCCAAAGTTCCTTTTAATAACGTTATAAAAACGTCTTCATCTATATAATGGAATTATCATACGTGAAGCTGTGAGAATGAAATGAGTGGACTGTGTTAGCTACTCACAGACTTCTCTTGCCTGCTACTGAAGACTTAAAGCCACTGTTGGACAACATCAGGCAAACAACTGACACAGTTATCATGGTCTGCCTGGGACCAAGACAGAAAGCTGAAACCATCACCGCCATCTCCCCTTCTGCCCACAGGATTGGCTTTGCCATCGCCCGGCGTCTGGCCCAGGATGGCGCGCATGTGGTCATCAGCAGCCGGAAGCAAGAGAACGTGAACCAAGCGGTGGCTATGCTGCAGCGGGAGGGGCTGAGTGTGACCGGCACTGTGTGCCATGTGGGGAATGCTGAGGACCGCCAGCACCTCGTGACCACAGTAAGGCACTGCAGGCTGGGACAGAGGCAAAGACACAGGTCTAACCCTGCCACTAGGGATTTGGGGTCTCTAGGTCTGTAAACGAGGCAAGTCACACATTCTCAGGAGAGTGAGGTGTGACTGAAAGATTTCCTGATGGGAAGGAACAGCTGTGCTGCTCATACTAAACAAAGAGATGGCCAGTGGTTGGGGCATGACTTAGGAGGTTGCCTAGACCCTCGCAGGGACCATGTTTGCCCCAAGTGATCTGTCTCCACCATAAAGTCTGAGCAGTTGTAGCCCTCATGGACAGTATTGCTCATCCATCAGACTAGCCTCTGAAATAAGAACTTCAGGATACACTCCTGCTGTAACCACGCCGGCTCTGGCCTGGCATAGCTCCAGGATGGCCAGTTAGTCACTGCTTCAGTTGCTGGCACAAGTAACTTAAATATGGGTTTACTTTGGTTTGTGGTTTCTGGTGGGAAAGGCTTGGGTGTGGAAGTATGTGACCATGCCTGTTCCCATCGCAGTAGCCCTGGAAGCTGAAAATGGGGCAGCTACTGTGGGCCAGGTGTAACCTTCAAAGGACTGCCATCAGTGACCTTCTGCCAGGCTGGTCCCCACCTCCTGAAGAGGCAGAGCCTCCCAAAACAGTGCAATAGCTAGGGACACAAATTCAAAATGTGAACCCGTGGGGAAGATTCAAAACAGAGCAGTGCTTTTCTTCAGATCATTGCCACTCTCCACGCTGTTCCTTCACCTGCCTGCCTGATGGCTTCCCCTGCAGGCCCTGAAGCACTCTGGGGGCGTTGACTTCCTGGTGTGTGTAGCAGGAGTCAATCCTCTGGTGGGAAGCACCCTGGGAGCCAGTGAACAGATCTGGGACAAGGTGAGCCGAGCGCCTTCCTCACCCTGTGTGGTATATACGTGTCCTCACGCCTGTGAGCATGCACATGCGCATCCTGTGCCTGAGTTCCCATTGAGCCGCGTCGACATCGGCTTTGCTGCATGAAGATGGCGCTTGCCGGAGTCAGACTGCTCAGAATTCAATCCAACAGGTGTTGGCCAGGCCCAGCCTCTGCCAGGCTCTAGCCACCTCTGTGTCTACTCTCCTGTGCTGCTCATTGAGATGCAAGAAAAAGATTTTTGGGTCTGTCCGTGGTAGAGACCCTCTGGCTCGGGTTGATGAAACTGTCACAACCCGGTTCATTGGTGCCTCTGTGATCCTTGCCCCCTGGGACCTCAGAGGGACAGTTCTGCTATGCCAGCTGGAAGCCACGGGCACGCAGGGAGCTTCTGCTGCCTTTGCAGACCCCATCCCTGTTATCCTGAGGAGCCCACCCATGAGTAGTCATGTCTGAGCCCCTGTCCTGTCCCGGGAAGCAGGGAATGGACCCGGAATCTGAGTGGGGCTTCCTCCCTTGGCTGTCCCTCCATTTTCTCCTGGTAGACTTTGCCCCACTTTTTCCTCTGTGGCTCTCATGTTCCATGGCCTTCTTGGTCTGCCTTCCAGTTCCTCTGCCTTCAACCACGTTCAGGCCTTTCCGGTTCTTTTAGTTATTTATTTTTAAAGATGACCAGGGTTTGAGACCCAACACCACAAAAATGCTTAACCCAGTCTCACCCAAACAAAATAGTACCCCAAACAACACATTCGCCAATGAGCAACACCAGCCTGGGTGTAAACATTTCCTGAGGCAGACCGAGGCGCCAAGCACAGATTCCTTTTTTTCTCATCCACACTCCTCCTTTCGGTCAGTCGTTAGTAACCAAGTTCGTCTTCTTTGCTTCCCCATGCTTTCCCAGCCTTTCTTCTGGAAGGCAGTGGTGGAGGCTGTCTGGGAGCTGATGATGAGAAGGTCCTTGAGCCACAGACAACGGCAATTCTCTTGAGACCTCGGGAGCTCAGGGGCCTCAGCAGCACGCGTGCCCTCATACAAACTCCAACCCTCACACACAGGACTCAGTGTCTGGGCTTGCCGCCCGTACTTACGGGGCTTCGTTCCCGTTCTGGCTCCCAGACGATGGTGTCTGTCTCCCCAGCCCAAGCTCTGTATTGTTTGGGGTTTCAGATCTTGGATGTAAATGTGAAGTCCCCAGCTCTGTTGCTAAGCCAGTTGCTGCCCCACATGGAGAAGAGGGGGTAAGTGCATGTGGCAATTGGTAGGGGCCATGTCTGCTAATTTTTACACACAGGAAATACTTGGGTAGAGGCCCACGTGGCGGTGTGGGTGTATTGGAGGTGTGGGTATGACAGGTGTATCTTTTGGGACAAGTTTTGTTTTTGGACCTGATGTCTTTCCCAAGGACGTGACATTGTGATTAACATTTCCTGGGGTGAGAACAAGAATGGCCTTCCAGATTCCCAAAGGACCTCTCGTGGGTCATTATATCTTTCATCTCGGGGAATTTAGGGACCTCGCTTTTTTGTGACAGCTGAAGTGATAAAGGGTCCAGAGTAGAGCAGTCTGGGGTCCCCATCTCTCATTCCCTTACCCCTTAGCAGGCTACCTCACCCGTTTATTACCATGGGCGCCCTCTTCTGACCTGCTACACGGCCTGATCCTTCTGTGTGTGCCTTGGCTACACAGGAGTGGTCAAGGCTGGCATTTCCACAGAGGTTCCTGTCACATATGAACATTATTTGAGTTTTATCGTCTGGTTGTGCTACCTCAGTTTGGGGTCCCTGTCGAAGGAACACCGCTCTGGCTGTACTTTTTGAGTTACAGTGACTTTCATGTCCATTAATTTAGATGTCTCGTGTCTCAGAGTTCTAGGTAGTTGCGTATGTGCCTTTTACTCTTTGACCGTGCACCCTGAGCTGATTTTCTCTTAGCATGAAAGCTCAGTTTCCTGTGGATCTCTAACATCACTCCCCATCCCTTTCTCCTCAAGGGGAGGCTCTGTTGTTCTGGTGTCCTCCGAAGTGGCTTATGTACCAGTACCGGTGAGTGTGATTACCCTCCGGCAAGCTGAGTGAGGGCCACACAGCAGGGGTGTGGTAGAGCTGACAGTTGATCCTAGAAGATTAGACACTATGTACCTCCAGGATGGCACTGTGAATGCTTCAGGTCAGATATTATTACATTTTACCCCTAAGGGGCAAGAATCTGCCATTTGGCTGTAAGTGATGTCAGTTTGCACTCCTCCAGAATGGGACCCTGAATACCCTAATTCCAGTTTTCTCATGGGCTGTTCAAAAGAACAGCGCGGCATCTACTGTGTCAAGCTCGGATACCCATGGCAGCAGCTTGATGACGTAGACGAGAACCTGACCCCTTGAAAACTTCTGTGGTGGTGGGGAGGCACAAGGGGAGAGCCTGTGCTCGGGCCTTACAGTCAGGCACGTCTTTGTAGCCTGCAGCCAAGAAGCCGCCTTTGATCTGGGACCATCGCTTCCTATCGGCCTGACTCTGTCTCCTTCTTTGCTTCTCAGAAACTGGGAGTCTACAATACCAGCAAGACAGCCCTGTTGGGCCTCTGCAAGTCTCTGGCTGTGGAGCTGGCTCCAAAGGGCATCAGAGTGAACTGCCTAGTGCCAGGGATTATCAAGACTGACTTCAGCCTATGGGTGAGAGGGACACATGCCTTCTGGTTTTAATCCCCACCCTCCTACTTTATCCTCTCTCCGTAGACTTTCTGGCCCCTTTTGGGTCATGCTTCCATCTGAACGGAGGCCCACAGACCCTGGACATGCAGCAAGATCCCCATCCCGGGGTCAGCCTTTGGGCAGCCTCCCCTGACATTTCTGCAGATGAATTTGAGGGTCTCTGTTTTCTTTGATCAGGCTAGTTGTCCATCCTATCTTCCGCTGAGGCATGGGCCAGCCATGGTGTTATTTCCACCCCACCGTATCACCAGTCCTCGGCCTGACACTGTCTGAAATCTCTTCCCTAGGGAAAAACAATGCCGAACATGCTGCCTGAGCTGAATAAAATCTTTGGATTGCAGCGGTAGGTCAGGGTGCTGGTGCTCTGTGCCTCTTTCTAGGGAAAATTATCCTCCGATATGAAAAATGACCTCATTGCTGCTGGTTGTTTCTCCTTTCTGGAGTTCTGGGTTGGGGGAAGGAGGGCAGGTATGACCAGCCACCACCTCCTCCCACTGAGGCCAGTGAATGGTAGGTGCTCCTCCCGGACTGCAGAAGCCCAGCTCAGAGCTCATCAGTGCATTCTATGACCCCATCTCTTCTTTCCTTCAGGTTAGGGGAGCCGGAAGAATGTGCTGGGCTCGTGTCCTTCCTATGCTCCTCAGATGCCAGCTACATCACTGGGGAGAACATCACAGTGGCTGGCTTCTCCCCTAAACTGTGAAGAGACATCATGGCTTTAGGGACTGGGGTTGAGGTCCTCAAGTGGAAAACAGAAGGCATGCTGGGAATTATGTAGGTGAAGAGCCTTAGCATGTGCTTGGGATCCAGGTCATATTGGGAACACTTACTGAAACATTGCAAAGGAAGGCAGGTGTTTAAAGATTTCATTTGGAATAAATTTGCTTGGAAACTCCTGGAGATGTTCCTGTTTGCCTCTTGACATACAACCCTCTTGACCCCAAAGCTTCATCCTTGGGTAAAATCCTTTTCTTACCACCGTCCTTCATCCCTACCAGTTTTTTTTTTCTTTAAATCTCTCCTGTTCTCCCCTCATTCTTTTTGTATGAAGCTGGAAGTCAGGCTGGAGCTTCCCCATCTGCTCTTCCAGATCTCCCCATCACTTGGTGTTTAATCTGTACCCTGAGACAATCTGCAGAGATACTTTAAGTCCTTTGACCTCTGGCTTGCAGGTAAGTTTGGTCAATTGGAGGCAGACTAGAAGTTAGGTGAGGATGAGGCCAGGGAAATGTATTTCTCAGCCTCCCTTCTGGTCTGTTATTCTTGTCTGTTGTCCTTTCCATCTTCGTCTGTTATTCTGTCTGCCCAAGGAAACTTTTGTTAGGCGACACTCTCCAAACAGGTAAAGTTCCACAATTCCCTACTTGTTCCTTCTGGCCTAGCTGTGGTAATGGCTCTTTATCATGTTGTCCTCTTGTGGAGCACCCATTTGTAAGGACTTCAAAAATCACAAGTAGTATTTTCTTTTCATTTCATAGTTACATGATTACATAGTTACATAGTTACAAGGCAGTGTGTGGCTCTTCCAGGTCAGATGTGAACAATTGTCCCTTTCCTCTAGATCGGACACCAGTTACAGGCCAAAGAGACGACTATTCCGTGCAAGTCTAGCAGGGTGAACTGTTGAGTTTACCGAGGTTACTTGCAGGAGCACATGTGAATCAAAGGCAGGTGTATCACTGCAGCTCAGCCAACATGGGTGATGACTCTCTGAAGATGCGTCCCTATAGCTCCTTGCCTATCTTGCAGGCTGCTCAGTGTCTCCTCTCCTTAGCAATTGTTACTGCTTATATAGCTTCAGGGAGGGACCCTGTGAAACATGTAGTTTTTTTGAGCTTCCTGAGTCATGTAAGTTGTATGAATTTCCTTTCTTCCTCCGGCAGGAAGTATTTCAGTTGGGAAGAGATGGTTACACAACACCGGATGATGGACATACCCACCGACTCAAACATTTATCGTTACATTGTGTTGAAACATCCAAAATCCTTTTTTTTCTTCTTCTAGCTACTTTGAGACATACAATGTAGTATTACTGATTGTTGTTACATTATAGTACAACAAAGTAACAGATTTTATTCCTTTCACAAAGCAACCCTAGTTTTCACTCCCCTACTTTTCTAGCCTCTGGAAACCATTATCTTATTCTTTGATTTTATGAGGTGGACTATTTCATTCAGAGAACGAATTGTTTAGAATTAGTCTTTAATTGATTAGTTAATTAACTTACACCTTGACCCCAGTTGCCCCTCCCTCTTTTCCCAGTCTTTGTCCTATCTTCCCTCTCCCCATCTACTCCCTTTCTGTTCAGAAAAGAGGAGATCTTCCATGAATATCAACCAGACTTGGCATATCAGGTTGCAGTAAAACTAGGTGCCATCTTCTCCTATAGAGACTAGACCAGGCAGCCCAGTGGGTGGAAAGGGTCCCAAAGACTGGCAACAGAGTCAGAGAGCTAGCCCTTGATCCCACTGTTAGGAGTCCCACAACCGTTACATATGTGCAGAGGGCCTAGGTCAGTCCCATGCATACTTTGTGGTTAGTGCTTCAGTTTCTGTTAGCCCCTAGAGGCCCAGGCTTGTGATTCTGCAGTTTTCTTGCCATGTCTTTGACCCCCCCCTTACAATCCTTCTTCCCCCTCTTCAGCAGGATTTTCCAATCTCCACCTAATGTCTGACTGTGGGTCTCTGCTTCTGTTTTCCATCTGTTGCTGGTTGAAGACTCTTTGATGACAGTTATGCTAGGCACCTGTCTGCAGGTTATCAGACTATCATTAACAGTATCAGGGATGGGTTCCCTTTCATGGCATGGGTCTCAAGCTAGACCAGTCATTGGTTGGCCACTCCCACAATTTCTGCTCCATCTTTACTCCTGTACATCCTGTAAGCATGACAAATAGTAGGTCAAAGGTTTTGTGGCTAGGTTTGTGTCCCAAATCCTCCACTGAAAGTCTTGCCTGGTTACAGGAGATAACTGGTTCAGGCTATCCATAACCCCCATTGCTTGGAGTCTTAGCTAGGCCCACCCTCATAGATTCCTGGGAGTTTCCATCATCCTAAGTGTCTCACTCATCCCAGAGGATGAGTTGTCTCTCCCAGTGCTTTCTCCTTACATCCTTCCCCCACCTGACCCTTCCCAATCCCATCCTTACCCACACCCAAGCCCAGTCCCACCCACCCCTAATGTCTATTCTGTTTCCCTTTCTCAGTGAGATTCACACATCCCCCCTTAAGCCCTCCTTGTTACTTAGCTTCTTTGGGTCTATGGATTGTAGGAAGCATAGTTATCCTTTACTTTTCGGCTAGTATCCACTTGTAAGTGAGTGCATGCCATGTTTGTCTTTCTGGGTTATCTCACTCAGGAATGAGCCTTTCTAGTTCCATCATTTGCCTGCAAATTTCATAATGTCATTGTTTTTAATGGCTGAGTAATATTCCACTGTGTAAATGCACCACATTTTCTTTATTCATTCTTTGTTTGAGGGACATCTGTGTTGTTTCTAGTTTCTGGCTTTTATGAATAAAACTGCTACCAACATAGTTGAGCAAGTGTCCTTGTAGAATAGTGGAGCATCCTTTGGGTAAATGTCTAGGAGTGATATAGCTGGGTCTTGAGGTAGTTCTATTTCCAATTTTCTGAGAAACTGCCAGATTGATTTCCAAAGTGGCTGTACAAGTTTGAACTCCCAGCAGCAACAAATGAGTGTTCCCTTGCTCCTCATCCTCACCAGAATGAGCTGTTGCTTGAGTTTTTAATCTTAGCTATAGTGATGGGTGTAAGATGGAATCTCAGAGTCATTTTGATTTGTCGTTTCCCTGATGGCTAAGGATGCTGAACATTTCTTTAAGTGCTTCTTGATCATTAAGGACTATTCTGTTGAGAATTCTCTGTTTAGATCTGTGCCCCATTTTGAAAATGGGTTATTTGGTTTGTTGATGTCTAATTTCTTGAAGTCTCCATATATTTTGAGTATCAGCCCTATGTTGGATTTTTCCCATTCTGTAGGCTGCCATTTTGCCCTTTTGCCTTATAGAAGAAGCGCTTTAGTTTCATAAAATCCCATTTGTTAATTGTTGATCTTAGAGCCAGAGCTATAGAGTTCTGTTCAGGAAGTTGTCTCTTGTGCCAATGCATTCAAGGCTATTCCCCACTTCCTCTTCTCCCAGGTTTAGTGTATCTGGTTTTATGTTGAGGTCTTTGATACACTTGCACTTGAGTTTTGTTCAGGGTGATAGACATGGATCTATTTGCATTCTGCATGAAGACATTCAGTTAGGCTAGCACCATTCATTGTAGGTGCTTTCTCTTTTCTATTGTATAATTTTGGCTTCATTGTTAAAGATTAAGTATCCATTGGTGTGTGGCTTTACTTTGGGTCTTTGATTTGATTTCATTGCTCAACCTATATATTTCCATACCAGTATCATGTGGTTTTTATTACTATTGCTCTGTAGTACAGCTTGAAATCAGGTATGATGATACCTCCACAAGTTCTTTTATTTGTAGGAGTGTTTTAGCTATCCTGAGTTTTTTGTTTTTCCATATGAAGTTGAGTATTTTTCTTTCAGGGTCTGTACAGAATTGCATTAGAATTTTGATGGGAATTGCATTGAATCTGTAGGTTACTTCTGGTAGATGGCCATTTTACTATATTAATCCTACTGATCCATGAGCATAGGATATTTTTCCATCTTTTGATATCTTTAGTTTCTTTCTTAAAAGACTTGAAGCTCTTGTCATACAGGTCTTTTGGAACAGGGTTTCTTTGTGTAGCCCTGGCTGTCCTAGATTCACTTTAGATCCACCAGGCTAGCCTCAAACTCACAAAGATCTACCTGTGGGTCTTCCTTCTGAGTGCTGGGATTAAAGGTGTGCACTACCGCTGAATGGCTTTAAGAATTTTTTTTTCATTTCTTCTTGAAGGACCTCTATCATATCATAAAGTTGGTTTTAAAATTGTTTTCTTATGCTCCAGCTACATTGGAATATTCAGGCCTTGTTGTCCTAGGATGGCTGGACTCTGGTGGTGCCATACTGGCCCAGCTGTTGATGACTGTGTTCTTACACTGTCGTTTGAGCATCCATATTTGGAATGATTACAGGTCTAGGTGCTGATTTTTTATTTTTATTTTTGGATGTTTTGTTCCTTGGTTTTTGTTTCCTCTTTGATTTACTGGCTTTGTGGTCTGGATTTCTGTTGGCCTGCTTGACCTCTGAACCAGTAGGGAGTCTCTGACCAGATTGGGACTGACTTTTGGCAACTTGCTTGACCTTTGGTGCAGCAGAGTGTCTCTGTTCTTCTCACTGGTGTGGCCTGCACCTGAGCAGCTGGAGTCTGCTCAGAATTGGGGTGGGGGCCCAGGCCACAGGGTTGGCATTGGGGTGTGCGTAGGGACCCCCCACTTGTAGGGTCTTGAGGAACTGAGTTTAGGGAGTGGGACAGTTCAGTTGGCAGGAGCCCACTCACCTGTCCTTTTGACTGATGGAGTTTCAAAAGGTGGGCCTTTTAAAAGCTGATTAAGCCACGAGGCCCGTGCTCTCGTGAACGAGATTAGTGCCCTTAGGAAAGAGGATTGAGAGTACTGTCTGACCCATTCCCCCTTCCAGCATGAATGGGTACAGAATTTGTCCCCTCTGGTGACCACGGTATCATGGGAGCTGAGAATGAGACTTGATTTTCAGGCACTGGAATAACCTGTGCCTTGG